GGCAAAACTCAATGGTTGCAAATGCACCAAATGGTTTCGAACAGATAAAGAAGAAGTTGTCAAGTGAAAAGGAAATGAGCTTGTTCACATATCAAAGAATGGGTGCTGACTTCTTTTCTCCTGAACATTTCCCTGCATTCACTCAATTCGTTCGGAGCCTTAATCAACCAGAACTGGATTCGGATGATCAACCAACGAAACAAGAAGAACGTGTTGCCAGTAATCATCTCCAGATGCAAGCAGCTTAGATTCAAATTCTATGTACATATTGGTAATCATCTTAGAAACCGTAATTTCCCTATAGTAATGAATAGGTAGTAGCTGAAAGTTGCAATCATTCAGTTTTTCTGTTATATATTATATATATGTATTGTTATAGTATGAGAAAGTTTGTTGGCTTGAATTTTGAAGATAGCTTTCAAATATATTTGTTCTTTGGTTGCATTTCTTTCGCCTTTTTGAGTAACTTGCAATTCTCTTCTCTTAGTTGAACATTGCATGTATGGAACCAACAACTCTCCCGCTCCCAGCCCCGGCCCCTCTCACTATTTTAAGCTGTATGGATCAATTTGTGCACACCTCGATAATTTTACTAGATATTTCAACTTCCTTAGTTTTCACGCACTTCATTGGTCGATATCTATACGATGTTATAGTTAATATCGTTGATCCATTAATTGAACACAAGTTTAAAGTTCATTGAATAAATGCAATCAGTGTATCCTTTTTTTCACAAGTTTTGGTGTAAAGCTTTTTCTATTGTCCACAATTTGGAGTATTGATAGAACACATAATTAGTGTGAAATAGAATTTCTTGAAATCATGTTGTATATTTTAAAATGAATTGCTTTCCAACAAACTTTGTCATGTACTCAAAAAGGAACAATTACATATCTTATCATCTTTGATTTTTCTTACATATAAAGACAAAGAGTATGGGTCCATGTTTTCCATAACACAACTCCACGAAGCAAGAAACTCATACATCTGGTTGAACTACCACGACTTCTTTGGATAAAAGAAGACTAGCTTTTAGAGTGGATTTCTTTCCTAAACTAAAAAATTTACTTACCTTAAGCCAGTATCATTTCGCTTAAGCCGGAAACTCCTGTTTACCTTATGATAGGTATTCTTTCTTATAGCTATCATCGAAAAAGCGGAAGACTTTTCTTTGTCTCGTCCACACCTAGGAAAGAAAAGATCAGATAAAGTGAGATATTTCAGAATTATGTTTGCGATTAAAATTATAATTTATTTGCTATATCGGCTCTATCCTTAACTATAAATTTAGTCTCAAACTTAATCCTGAATATCACACATTATCCTATCCAACTTGATATTATTTTATCCTCCCTCCTAGATGGGATAATTTAATTCAAGGATTATAATTCTTGAATAATTTAGTCCGCGATTCAAATGGGCCCGGTAGAAACAAGAAAGTCGGTTTAAGTGGCAGCGGCCACCGGCCATAACATATATAGTATCATAAATAATTGAATGAAAATCCTTGAAAACTTGGAAACATCATACATTTGGCAACATATAACGTGTCTACTTATCTATTGCTTATTCAAATAATATCAACGCTAGAAGAAAACCAATTGTATCATATGTGTTCGGATTCTTCAAAATGTCAACAAATGCATATTGAATTCTTTAAAATTAGTGTATTTTAAAGAATTTGACACGAATATGACATGACATTAAAAATGAAGAGTCTGCACAACTAAACTGTAATAGATATCAATACAAATTTCTAGGCTGATGTTTGATTTTAGATCCTCACAATCATATCATACAATTACTAATATTTGAGTAGGTAAATATTTCTCATTTCAATTATATCTTCTTATATAAAATAATAGTTTTAAGTAAAGCATCTTGATGTATAATACAAAGTACTTTCGTTACGTAACTTAATAAATGAATCTTGATGTTTATTTCAAAGTTCTAACATATTACATACTTTTAATATTTAAGAAGTCTTTCTTTGTTACAAATTAGATTTTGTACTCTTTTTTCTTCTTCTATTACCTTCAATATTTTCTAAGCAAATATCAAATCAATTAAAATTCACCATTAATAGGCTAAGCCATTGAAGAACACAAGTTTTGATTTTTCATAGTATAGGGAAGTAAATAAAAATTCATTAAATATGTATAAACATATATAAAACTCGTAACTTCTTGTCTATGAGATTAAAGTAATTTGTTTAACTCAAGCCATGAAAATCTATAGCATGCATGAAGAAAGAAGCTAATCAATGATTTTTTTCAGTCATTGCGCGGTAGCTTGTACTCGGGAAGAGGGGGAAATAATAGGAAAAGTTTTTGTTCTACCTCCTAATTTTTATAAAATGAGTGAATATTTTCTTGTGGATCAAATATAAATAGACTGATATTATTTCTTCAAATCATGTTATATGATTTAAATTGAATTGCTTTCAAACTTTGTCAATTGTCATGTACAAATTACAGAAATCACATACATTTAAGGCAAAATTACAATCTATCCATTAAAAGTTTATAATTACAGAAAACCCTCAAACGGATACAATAATATAAGCGCTGATACATTAATCTGATGCGCGAGATACATTAATCGTTAAGTAAGATACATTACATTTTATAAATGATACACTAATCTGATGCGCAAGATACAATAATATAAGCGCTGATACATTAATCTGATGCACGAGATACACTAATCTGATGCGCGAAAATGAGGGATTTTAGAAATTTGTAAAACTTATAGGGGATAATGATAATAAGTAAACTAAAAGGTGGATTTCTGTAATTTTTCCTTTTTTTTTTCCTTACATAAATGATAGGGAAAATTGTATATAATAGCAAACTATTAATTCAAATTAAATGCTATAAATATAGTTTGATTTAATTGTACCTCATAGCAAACTGTTGCTATTTCACCTCTCTCCTGGTGAATCTCGCTCGCCACTCTCGTCCTCTCCCTCGCCTCTCTCGTTTTTTATACAAACGCAAGTGTATAAAGTGCGTTTGTGTTTGTATAAAGCACGAGAAAATTGTATATATACATATATTTTCGTTCCCCTCTCCCAAATCTCGCTCGCCACTCTCCCAGATCTCGCTCTCTCACTCGCCTCTCTCACTTTATACAAAAACCGCACATTGTATAAAATGCGTTTGTGTTTGTATAAAGCGAGAGAAAATTGTATATATACATATATTTTCGTTCCCCTCTCTCCCCTCTCCTAGATCTCGCTCGCCACTCTCTCAGATCTCGCTCTCTCACTCGCCTCTCTCACTTTATACAAAAGCGCAAATGTATAAAATGCGTGAAAATTGTATATATACATATATTTTTGTTTCCTTCTCTCCCCTCTCCCAGATCTCGCTCGCCACTCTCTCAGATCTCGCTCGCTCACTCGCCTCTCTCACTTTATACAATTGATCTTTTTGTATATGTATACCAAAACAGATTATACAATTGCTTTCTTTTGTATATGTATAGCGAAATATACATATTTATGTTTGTTATGGAGCGCAATTATGCAAATTTTGCTATAGCATACAAATATGAATTTTGTGTTTGCTCTATGTGAAAGTTGCTCTAAGTGATACGTCTCCCCCTAATAAAGACTCAAGTTTGGGCCCAAGTTTTTAATAACACAACCCCACCAAGCAAGAAACGATCATACGATATTTTCTCAATTGGTAATTTTTTTTTAAAAAAAATTGTGTTAAAAAGAAAAATATCAAACTTTTATATTTTAGAATAATTTTATGATTTTGATTTATCTCTTTAATAAAATTATTTCTAAACACACGGCACCACGTAAATTAAAATGGAAGAAGTAATATTGTAAAGGGTCTCCTTTAATTTATTTTAACGATACATACAATAAACGTAAATTTAAGTGACTCTAGATATCGATAATATGTGTGTATATATAGTAGGACAAACGAGAAAGCTTGAAAATATGGAAGATCTCACATGTGGCAACGTATAGCATGTCTACTTATCTATTTTGCTTAATTATTCAAATGCCAACGATATAATGCTTCTTGAAAATCAATTACAGTAAGATTCAATGAATATCGATTCAAATTTTTGTGATGATGTTTGATTTTAGATCCTCACAATCATATCGTACTATTAATATTATATTTTAGTTGGTTAATTATTCACATTTTGACTATATCTTTTTAATAGTTTTATTGAGAAGTATTGAGAATATGTATGAGCTCGGCGTAAATTGTTAGTTTCGTCGACAACCTTAAAAGTACCTCTCTACTTAACTAACTAACTTAGATACAATTTCGATCTGCCACATGACATAGCAAGTGGTTTCAAACTCTTATAGAAGCATGTGACTATTAAATAAAGGGAAAAAGGACAAATATACCCCCGAACTATCGTAAATGGTATGCAAATACCCTCCGTCATACTTTTGGGACATTGGTGCCCCTGCCGTCCAAAAACTAGAGCATATATACCCTTTATACTAACGGAAATACATGTGTCAATCTTATCCACCGATCTGACATTTATCGGCAGATAAGATTGCGCCACGTGTCCCTATTTAGTCTTCCGTTAGAATGAAGGACATATATACTCTAGTTTTTGGACGGCAGGGGCACCAATGTCTCAAAAATATGACGGAGGATATCTGCATACCATTTACGATAGTTCAAAAGTATATTTGTCCTTTTAAAATAAAAAGTCAAGAGAAGTGTTAATGAAAATATCTCTAAAATTGGTGAGAATTTAGGAATGTATTTCATTCATATTGCAAGATTAGAACCTCCAAGGTGTATTTAAATTCAATTAATTATGTAAAGGGGTGCTTTTAAAGTTGTTAATAGTTCGAAAATGAAACTAATAATTCACGCCGATTTGCGCCTACAACATACAATGTTAAAAATTGACATCCATGTTTTCAAGCAGAAAATTATGATAAACACTAATATCATAATATTTCAAAGGCAAGAGCAGCATTAAAGTTTTTTCAAAGAAAAAGGTGATTTAAGTAAATTATATACACAGAAAAACAAAATGTACAAAATATGTCTAAAGAGGATCATAATATATTTTTTTTTTCTTTCTAATCTTTAGCTGCAACAACATTCTTTTGGTTCTTTAGTTTCTGTATCCTCCTTTTTGGTGTGGTCCTTGAGAAAACATACAAGAAATAATGATTATCAACTTTGGCATTTTATTCTGCATTTGCACCATTCTTGTGCTTCACATTCAAACACTGGAATTATTGCACTTCCAAGCAACCACGCCGCGGCCGCTAGCACTGTTGAACAAATGCAAACATGAAATTTAGAAACCAGAAGAACATATTGAAGGTAACAACAACTTGGTACAACAACACATTCTTTGACATGCTATGATACTTGAATTTCTAAAACAACAGTGTACCATATGTGTAAACCTTTTTTATCTCTTTGATTATGTGTTATAAACCACCGAAGTCCAGCAACATCAAACATCTTCTTCCCTTTATGTAAAGATTGAATGCAAGCTTAAAAGAGAACGTTACGCCACAATTACTGTGAATTCCTTTTGGTAATTAACTAATTGCATGACCAGCTCAAAGAGTTAACAAAGCATCAAGTACAATATTCTTATGAAGAAACGATACTCGAAGACAACTAAAAACAAGATTTTAAGATAAAAGGACAAAGGTGTAGAGTGAACTGATAAAAGTTCCCTCCGTGACTGTTTTAACACGATTGACATGTAATTAAGACCTTGTTATCTTGATAATTATGAAAAGACTTGTAAAAATGCTGGATTGTGAATTTGAACTTCTGCAAGGTAAGAGGTAGAGCCAAACCTCAAAGACAAGTCATTCACAAGCAATTTTAGTGTCAAAGCTGCTAAGGCATATGGCGAATGCCTGGAATGCTGATAGTGGGTAGCGGTAATCCATTGTAAACATGTCCTTCCCTACTTTACCGAACTGCAAAATAACCTTCTCATGTTCTGGTCCAGCCGCACCATTCTCTGGAGAAGCCACCAACTGAAAGTTCTTCACCGAGGCGACGGTTACCCGACCATGAAAATTCAAACACCAGCATTGGAGCTGCTCATGCCATCTGGGAGCCTTATTTTTCAGAACCAGTGAACCTTCTCTTTGAGTTTCTATAGGCCCAGACAAAGACTTCTCCAAGCGACTTGATTTGGATCGAAGAAATCGCATTGGAAGAGAGGAACCACTATTGTCCATTGGGAAATCAACCTGTGTGGGAGCTCTACCTCCAGGTTTAATGGCAGAAGCTGGGATAGCATCCATCACACAATGCATTCTTCTTGGCCCCCTGCTAGTTACATAAGATGATTGACCTATCATTATCCACTGTCTAATACTTACCAATGTGTTACCATTAGACATTAGTATCATTACTAGAAGAGCTCTTCTATATTTTTCGAAAAAGAGAATTCATGTATCAAGAAAAATTTAGTCCTCCAAACTTTTGCAAGAAAAGTAAAGCCTCACCTGGCTCCAAGTACATTCAACTCGTATGAAATATGAGCAACTTCATAGTTTCCAGCTGGCACTCTAGGATTCATTTGTTTTGAGCCCACAAGCCTAGTGGAACGGCTCTTCACCAGCTTGGCTCCAGCGTAAGGAAGAATAGAATCGTATGCAGTAAACTTGGTTCCAAGGAAATTTGATCTAGCCAAACAAGAAAGAGACTCTTTAAACACAATCTAAGCTTTACTACTCACCCCGTCAATAATAAGCAAGCCATACCTTAATTTCCCGATACAAGTGCCACCTCCCTTTGACATTTCATTTGCATCTAGTGATATAGTGTAGTCAGTGCAGGTGGCCTTCCTGTACTTCCGAGCAGCAAGAAGAAACTTGCCATCATCAGCCAATGCTGCCACAATAAACAGATAAATTAAAAGTGTAAGATGATTCCAAACTTGAGGATGCATTGAAACTTCACATAACAGCACACTTCCCTCCACACAACCCCTCGTTTAAAAAGATAAAATGAAGGCCTGGATTCTCAAACAGTAACAAATGCTCACCTTGAGTCAAACTAAGGTATAGATGATATGTCTGTGTTGTCTGGTTTCTCTTTATAAAGCACTGAAGAAGTGTGTCTCGTGGACCAGGCTGCAAAAATAGGGAATACTACTAAGAATACATGAAACGAAGATAAGTAATGAACTTCATAATGGATATGTAACTTCCTATGAGGAACTTCACAATTTTTTACTGTTTTCTTATTTTTCACTCATGGAAGGGATGACTGACCATCTTAGTTCAAAACTTACTCAGCAATAAGACAGTATAATTCATATCCAGGGATCCGAAAACAATCTGATTTGCAAAACAACAAAACTTGGAAGAGTTGTTTGAAAAGGAAAAAAAAAAAGAGTAATTAGGCATATTATCAGCAAGAAGACAGAATAGATGCCACCAAAAATATGGAAAATGAACCAAAGAGTGGCTTAGTGCCTAACATATATCATTTCAATGTTTTCCACATCCTCAATTCAAGCTCAACTTAAGCAAAAGCCAATCTTGAACTTCAATTCAATCTCAACTTAAGCCAAAGCTAATCTTGAACTTCAATTTAAGCCAAAGAAACAAGAAGTTATAAAACACAACCACTTAAATAAACAAGAAAACTCCAAATCAAATCAACACCATAAGCAACAAATTAAGTACTTGTAAAGTGATACCACCTCAAATCCTGAATGCAAATCCCAAAGAAAAACAGCAGAACTAACAATTGGAAGAGGGGAATCTTTCTTTACCTGCTTGACAGAAATTGGGAAAGTTAACTTGCCAGAAACTTCAGGAGTCTTCACCAACTCCTTCATAATCTCCCTCCAGCTCCTACACACTCCAGAACAAGCTACAACACTTTTCCTCAAAGGCCATTTAGATTCTGTATCTTCAATCCTCATAAGAACCTCTCTCAATAACTCTAAAGGCAAATTAGCCCAACAGCTCTCCACAAGCCCTTCATCAATCCCCTCTGTTTCCTCCGCCACAGCCACCACTGAACTCTGGCGACACCTTGACTTTGACCCATAACCCCACTTCATCTCACAACCCAAAAAATGCTAAAGATTTGATTTCTCAAAACAATGCTTATAAACTCAAACCAAAACAGACCCACCTCACAGAATTTCATAAAAATCACACCCACAACCCAAAATGCACCTCAAATCCAGATCTGAAATCCATAATCCCCCTAAACACCAAAAAGATTGAATCTTTAACATTCTTTCATGTCTAAACTCAACACCCAATGCATTAAAACCAAACTGAGATAACAAGAAGTTGATTATTCAAATGAGATCAAGAAGCATAAATAATAGAGAAAGTGAAGATAAAGATTGTTATGGAGGATAAAAAAAGGTGGTAACATGAAAGGTGAAAATGGAAAAAATATTTGAAGATGTGTAAAGAGAATATGAAAAGGATAAATAGTGATGAAAAGGAATAGCTATGGAAAGAGAGTGCTAGCTAGTACTAGTAACTAGTAATGAATGGATAAGTGAATCATTGAGTTAAGGGGCCTACCCCATCTTCCTATTATTACTTTACTAGAGTATTTAATAAGTCACCAGGCGGATTCAGAAATTTTATCAAGAATGTCTAAGAATAATGATGTGTGACTGTTAAAATATAACAAAACATACTGTGCTATTAGGGTTTAAACCTGCAATTTCTTCATTCAAATGAATACTCATTATCATTTACTAAAAATAGTTACTCCCTTCGTTCATTTTTAGTTGTCATCTTACACTTTTCGAAAGTTAATTTGATTAATTTTCAAAATTAAATTAGATTACATTAATACGATATCTTAAATGAAAAAATTAGATATTTTAAAAACTATACGAAAAGTACTATAAATTGTAATTTTTTGCATATCAGTATGATGAAAAAATATTATCGTAAAATGTTAGTCAGAGTTCTTATAGTTTGACTTTAAAAAAATGAAACCATGACAATTAAAAGTGAACGGATGAAATATTATTTAAAATATTAATTCATTTATTATATTTTTTAAAAGTAAGTATTTCAAATTATTTTTTAATTGAAGTTTAATATTTAGTTAGCTTTTTTAAAATTCTTAGTAGTAATTGTTTCTTTAAGAATATAAATATATTAGTTATAAAGTGATGATATATAAATAGAGTAAATATTTAATTTAAAGATATTATATTTTAAGGAAAAAAATAAGGATATAATAATGAAAACTTCTTGTAATTAATATTTTTCTTAAAAGATATACAAAAGAAAAATAGAATGTATAATTTGAGATTAATGGATAATAAACAATTAATTTTCATTATAATCCGTACTCAGTAAATGGATAAAAAAAATTAATGTGTCGAAAAAAAGGCTAATTTCATTGTTACCTATACTCAGTAAATCGATAAAAAAAAAAATTAATGCGGCGAAAAAGAGGCCAATTTCATTGTTATCATATTCAATAAATGGATAAAAAAAATTAATGCAGTGAAAAAGAAGGTAATTATTATTAAATTGAGATCAAAGAAAATACAATGATGATTTAGTTAAATTATTAAAGGATGTGTAAAATGGATTGGGTGGAGTAGAAATTTTAAATAAACTAAATTAAAGTTGAAAAATAAATATTTATAAAATATTATAAGTTCTGAAGTTTGATAAACTAATTTAATTGGATTTTGACAACAATTATATTTTTATCACTACGAATATGATATTAAATTAACATTTTAAACCAACTGCCCGATTAAGTAGCATTTTATGTAAAATAGAATGTAAGAAGTCTAATTAATTAAGGACTATTATGATGGGGGATTTAGAGTATTTGAAGAAGTAATGTGATTATGAGTATGGTAGGCATATATAAGAGTTAAAGGAGGTTAGATGAGATTTTGATGGAAGTTTGAAAGAGCGCAAAAAAAGTAGGTATATAAAGCTAGTTGACTGAGTTGTTCAATATCATTTTTAAGATGATGAAGAGGTCTAAAGATTGGAGATGAGGTACAATGATTTTATTGTATATTAATAAGAGTGACAGTCATAATTATAAAATTATTACGACAGTAGTAGTATCAAGTTGTTAAGCCACACTATAAAGATTTTAAAAAAAAGTGATGAAAATGCAGGTGAGGAGGAATATGACTATTTTTCGAGAAACAATTTGAATTAAGGTCGAAACACTCATCTACATAAGTCATTTATTTATCTCGTAAGAAGACTGACTGAATACTCTTTATTCGACTTGAAAAAAATCCATGACAAAATTCTCAAGGTAGTTATGTGGAGATGCTTGAAGATCGGAAACGTATATATGTGACCTACATTAAGGTGATCAAGAATGTTTATGAGGTAGTCAAAACTTGGGTAAGGATCGTTGGAGGAGACTTATATTTGAGTGGAAGAATGTGGTCATTAGTTGTAGTAATTTTTGTGACCACCAACTCTTCATTTCACTCATTATTGATCCTACCTCTTTATTCTTGTAACCTATGTAACATATAGGTCATTCACTTATTCAATTTACTACCTATTATCTTCCTATTCATTGAAAGGAATAATTCATCACCTATAAATAGTGGTCTTCCTTTGTGTTGTAAATAACAAGAGATGTACAAGAAAATATAGAGTGAAAAAGATGAGTAGTATTGTATTGTGTTTATATTAAGATTAATATAGTGAAAGAGAGTTGAGATAAAGAAAATATTTTAAGTCTTCAACTATATTCACTATATAAAAAGAGAGCGAGATATCCGCGTCTCATTCTAAAGATTTATTTATTCATTTTATGTTCAACTATAATTTAATATAATTGTGGTATATTACACCAATAGTCCTTAATCTCTTTTTATTTGCCTTATAAGTGATGGATACGTTAACACGATAATTTCAAGGTGAAGTGTTATGGTTTATGTTATTTGCGGATGACATAGTTCTAATTGACGAGACTCATGGCGAAGTTAATGCCAAGCTTGAGGTTTGGAGATAGAGCATGAAGTCTAAAGGGTTCATGTTAAGCAGAATCAATACAAAGTATTTGGAATGCAAGTTCAGTGGTGTTACACATGCAGCTGATGTGGAAGTGATGCTTGATACATCTATCATCTAAAAGAGGGTCTACCTCTAAAAATAAGTGTAAGATCTATGTACACTCCTCTCTTGATTCCATTTTATGAGACTACTAAATATGTTATTGTGGTTGATTATGCGTTACAACCAATATTTTATTCCTACTTGAAACTATTTTTGAGTTTTGAAAAACTAGTTCTAATCTTTTTTTAAAAAAAAAAAATAAGAAAATTATTTCTCACAAAACTTAAATATTTTACTAGTGTTAAAGCATATGTAAACACAACTTAAGAACGGAGCAGAGTTCTATGACCGAGTCAAGTGGACATCCATCAATAATGAATTCATGATTTTATTGTAGCGATAAACCTCAAAGAACTTTTCAAATAAAATAGAATGAAAAGCAAAATAAAAGTAACAAAATTCACGAGATAACAATTAACAATAGTGAAAGACAAAAACTTTAGGTTTACGTAAAACTACTTATTAATTATCCATAAGAAGTTTTTCATCTTAATGTACAAATACTATACGCTAAAGTACTCTAAAAACATTATTTTAAAAAATTAAAATCTACCTACACAATTTAAACACTCCATTCATTTTTTTAGTGGTATATTGGTAATCAAGTAAAACAAAATAAATTAAATGTTGAAAATCAATTTTAGATAACGTTAACTTCTTTTTTTTCTTTGGTCAAAGATAACGTTAACTATTAACACATCAACTATAAGAAAAGTCTTTGTATAATTATGAATCATAAATAATATGGATATGACATTGATAATATATTGTGGCGTATATAACATTCTTAGATTTCAGATTAAAATCGTACCTACTATATTTGTTTTAATTAATTTATTTTTAATAAACATAAGTTAGTTCACTGAAAATTACACGCTACCTTATCTTAAAAATGCAGCCAACTCTTAATATTTATTATGTTTTAGTTTCTTAACAGCTAGACATATTATTTATATTTTCATACAACTTCTAAAAATAATTTTTGGAAAAAAAAATCATGTCTAAATTCATGTAGAAAATTAGTTGAGTAGGTCCTTATATTCTGGATTCCACCCTTTTCTTGTCACATGATAAATCATCCATCTCAATTCTCAAATAATGTTAGAGAAAAAATTAATTAAAAAAATAGTTTGCGAATGAGATATTTTATATTTACATAAGGTTTGAGAAAATGACATATTTCTAAGTTGTGACATCCATAATTGATTTAAATTTGTTTCCCATTTTTATATATCAAATGAAAACAATTTTACTTATTCAATATTTAAAAATATATTTTCATGACTTTTACTTGTCATTATCATATTTCTTTTCATGTTTTATCCTTATATCATTAATTATTTATTTCATTTTTCAAAATTTAAAATTATATAAATATTAATTCATATTCCTTTCTTTTTTTTATTTGACAAATTTTAACTTGACACACTTATTAGAAAAATAATTAATTATATAGTGAGTTTATTAGTCTACCCGTATTAATTGATAGAGTCTCAAATATATTTACTCACTACATTTTTCAAAGACATTAACTCAATATTAATAAACCGAGGATATAATAGGTAAAAAAATTATCCTTTAATTTTTTATTTGACATTTGAAAGAGAAATCAAATTAGAAAATATTTAACAAGTAAATAAACACAATAAAGTATGTAATTGTGATAGAATACTCATCTCATTACATTTCAAGACACATGCAAAATTCAAAATGAATAAATAAAAATGAACGAATGAAGTATTGTGAACAACTTTTCTTTCCTGTCACAAAAATCTGAATAAAAAATTCTATTATATTTTATTTTCTTATTTAATTAGACATACCTCTTAAAAATAATAAACAAAATAATTTATTACATCATGTTCTTAATTATTACATGGAGAAAATACATAATTACCCCATCAAATTTAGACCATTTTTTGAAGAAGACACCTTAGTTGGCAGAGGTCTTATTACTCCACGAAACCATTTAAATCAACAATAAATACGTCATTTTGACCCATTTTTACAGCAACTGTAATTTCACATTAGAAAAACGCGTAAAAGAGTAAAATTACAGCCCCAAACCAATGGAAAACTGACACATGACATTGTTAAACCAAAGTGAAAAGAAGCCCACATTTCTTCTTCCCCAAACCACCATTAATGGTTGTTGAGAGCTTTTCTCAACCGCAAAAGTTGGTTCTTTACTATGCGAAGCGATTTTTTTTATTGTATACTCATCAAGTTCTAGCAATCCATCTTAAGGCCTTTTATTAGAAAAATCTACTTAACAACGACATAATACTTGATCAATTTAGCACCTAAT